GTGGAGAACAGACCGACAGCTGCTGGCCCGGCTAATAAAGGCTCTTAAAATTCCAATTTGGATTCTGGTCTCGGTTTTTTGTTCAGGGTAACCCATTACAGAGAAACCCATCACTTACCCAACCTGGGCAGCTTAGCAATTTAGTGAGACCCTCAAAGTGAAAATAAAGGAAAGGGGGTAAGCCTGGAGATCTGGCTCAGTGCCAAGGTCCTGTGTTCAATTCCCTGTAGCACAACACACACACACACACACACACACACACACACGAGTTTTCCTCACTTTGAGAGAGCTCCAAGAAGGACGTGTAGGCCACAATTGATACTGGAAAATAAAAACTTCCAACCTGAGTGATATCTGGGACGAGCTCGTGTTCTCTAAAAATCAAAGAATGAATTTTAGGAACAACGGAAGCTAAAAGCAGAATATATTTACTGAGGGAGAGAAAAGAAAGCTTCTGTCCACGAGAGGGACTGAAGTGGGGCCTGAGTGGGTTACCCCAGACTCTGTCTTTTCTAGGGACTTTTATAGAGCAAAACCACGAGGTGAGGTGGCTCCAAGGTAGGGGAAAAATGGAAAAAACTATGGTCAGCCAGTAAGAATTGTTCAGGTAAAATTGATTAAATCGGAATCAAATGGGGAAGCCAGTCCCAAGCAAGTGGGCATGAATACAGAACAGGGGCTTTTCCTGTATGGGGTTGGGTCAGGGACTCTTCAAGGTGATGACTACCTATCTAGAATATCAATCCCTGATGTCCATCCCTAGGGAGGTATGTGGGTGCCTTTCAGTCCTTTTGTCTTGAGGTCTGCCCCACAGCAAATAGGTATCTTTCATGTCAGCTCCTTTGAGGGCCTGGCCCTGTCTGACTGCCTATAATCTTTTTTTTTTCTTTTGAGACAGGGTCTCCCTATGCAGTTCAGGCTGGCCTTGAGCTCACTTTATAACCCAGGCTGGTCTCGAACTCGCAACGATCCTCCTGCCTCAGCCTCCCGAGAATTAGGATTACAGGAGTGTGCCACCACGCCCGGCTGCCTATAATATTTCTGTCTAACTCAGCTACCTATAACACAATGACGAGAAATTAGAACATTTAGGCAGCTTTCCCGAAAACATTTTTGTGGAGGGCGTAAGAGGCGCGCATCCCCCTGGTGTCCAGCGGCAAACCCAGCACGAAGGGCACCGCCGGGCACCGCAGGCCGCGTAGTTCCGCAGCTCTGGCCGGGCCTCTCCTACCCGAGTGGCGCTGACTCTGTCAAGAGAGCAGTGCGGCCGGACGTGGTGGCGCACGCCTGTAATCCCAGCACTCGGGAGGCTGAGGCAGGAGGATCGTTGTGTGTGTAGCCTGGGCTACAAAGTGAGCTCAAGGCCAGTCTGAACTGCATAGCCAGACCCTGTCTCAAGAAGACAAAAAAAAAAAAAAAAAAAAGAGCAGCGCGGAGGGCGAGCGGCGGTACCGGCTCCGCGAGGGCCACACCCAGACCCTCTCCCTCCGAGGCCGGCCCGGCCTCGCCCCGCGGCCCCGCCCCGGGCTGCCCCGCCGCCAGACGTGCCAGGCCCGCTGCTGCCTGGAAGCGGGGAATGGCCAAGAAAGGCCCCGCCCCCGAAGCCAGCTCCCGCCTCCCCGGCCGCGCCCCGCGTAACACGGGCCGAGAACCGGCGAGCTCGCCCATCTGGCAGTCTGCTCTCTCCACTCTGCAGTCAGCCGTCTTGTTCCCAGCCTCCCAGTCCGAGACGGCCCCCTGTCGCCTCGAGGTAGGTCACCCGGACTACGCCAGCCCTTGTCCAGGCAGAGGTCCCTTTGGCCTGGGCAGCCCGTACCGCCCGCGGCCTCGGGGAACCTCCCGTGGTTGCGCCCCGGAGCTTCTGCTGGCTTTGCAGCAGGGCTCGAGTCGCGCCCCCCGGACCTGGCCTGGGCAGCGGAAGTTACGGTGTCCCTTCTGGCGATTGGGCGCGCTCCGACGACGTCATCGCACGGGGCTCCTCGCGGGGCACGCTGGGAGTTCCTGCGGTGGGGGCGGCCATGCGCGGTGGGTTCCTGCGAGTGCGAGACCTCCCTCCTGCGCGGTACCGGCGCCCTTCTTCCGCAGAAGCGGCCTCATCCAGGGCCATCCCGCAAAACTCCTTTTTCTTTTTTGGTAGCGGGAATCGAACTCACTACCTCGCACTTGCGAGGCAGGCGCTGTGCCGCTGGGCTGTATCCCCAGCCCTGCAAAATTACAAGAAAATCAACCTTTGACTTTATACCCCCCAAACCGACCCCCCAGGGTTGGCATCCCTGGAAGAGAGCGATACACCGGCTGCCCCCTCCAGAATGCCGGGGAACAGGGGAGGGCCTCGGTGATGCGCGGGTCCCAGTGGAGCAGCGCTCCGCCGACGGCTTGACGTGACAGGGCCCGGGATGCCGCTGCGACTGGGTGGGGCCTCCGCCGTCCGCGCCCTGGGGAGGAGGGACGCATCACCCGGCCTGCGGCGGGCGGCGCCCGAGTGTCACGAGGGTTGGCTGGAAGGGAGCCAGGGCTCCAGGCCTTTTGTGGCGTTGCTATGGAAGGAGCCAGAGTGCCACCCGGTGCCAGGATAGCTGGTGGGTCTGTGCCACAGTTCAGGTTCAGTTCGGTAGTGTGTAGGAGGGACGTTAGAACCTGCAGGTCCCCGTCGAGGGTAGTGGAAAGCCTGAAAAATCAGGAAATCTAAAAGTCCACTTATAGAGACTGGTTGGGTCAGTGAATCAGCGTGGCCGTTGAAAATGACACTGTATCTAGTAAATAAAGGTTATTAGAACAGTTGTAAGAAGTTTAAAAGAGTTGTTAAAGGTTTGTGTTAGTTTACTGGCTATAACAAAATCGCCACAAACTTGCTCTTAGGCTTCTCACCAAAAGTCCCAATAAGTCTTGGGTTGAAAAGAAGGTGTTGGTGAGGCTGGTTCCTTCTGGACACGTCAGAGGAGAATCACTTCTGCCGTGTCCGGTGTCTAGAGGCAGCCTCCCTCCATCTTCAGAGCCCTCTGTTGCTGCCACCTTCTGATTTTTTGTTTGTTTTTGAGACAGGGTCTCTGTACATGCTACCCTTGAACTCAGTACATAGCCTAGGCTGGCTGAAAACTCATGGCCATTCTCCTGCCAAGCCTCTTGAGTGCTGGGATCACAGGTGTGCATCACTAGCCCTGGTGGCACCTCCCACAAGGACCCTCATGATGACACTGGGTCTGCCCAGAAAACTTGGGGTCGTCGCCCCATCTCAGCATCCAGCTTGAGTTGGCTGGAGCTCAGGACCCCCAGAGGCTGCTCTTCACTGCTCGTTCCCCCCTCTTTCCTGTGTTCTCACTCCTCAGTCTGCCTAGCCTCTGCCAGAAGCCCAGCAGTACCTCACTTCCTGCACCACTGGGAAAAGAGGCGCTCACGCTGTGTAGTTTGTCCCAAGCAGCTTCAGGGCGCTGGCTGTGCGCCCTCAAGGTGGGTGGGGTGGGCTCCCAGGAGCTCACCTGTGCCTGTGTGTCCCACCTCTGCCCAGCCACCTGTCTTGCCAGGAACCCAGGGCCCCTGCTGATGACCCCGCCCCGTCTGGAGGCAACCAGCAAACCAGGGCAATGAGCAAGGGAATCAGCCGCAGGTCTCTGCATTTCCTCTCCCTAGCTGTGTAGCATTTGCATTTTTCTCTCGGCCTGATCATGTTTCTCTCGGCCTGATCCATTCCCGTTTCCTCTCCAGGGTCTGAATGCTCCCTCTGCCTTTTACTTCTCTTCTGCCTTCCAAAGAAGGGTGGTCCTGCCTGCCTGGAAGCTCAGAAGCAATGAAGTAGGGTGGAGAGTGCCCAAGTGGAGTAGCCTTACACCTTGAAACCCAAAAGAACTGGCTCACTAGTCCTGTCCCCTGGCTCCTGAGGTCCCATCTACATTGTGTGGTCCCAATGGCCATGAAATTAGGTTAGGCCTGCAGTGACCACTGGGATCCACCTCTTGCCATCAGCTCCCTGCCAGCCCGCCTCCCTTCAGGGCTGATTGTGTCCAGGCCTAGGTTCACCTGCCCTTCTCCTATGCTGCAGTCCTCCTGTGATGGCAAAAACAACTCCCAAAGTGTTAGATGTCAGGTGTGCCCCGTTGGTGTCTTCTCAATATCAAAGAAGGGATTTTGAGGGCAAAGGAGCTGAAGAGTAGGAAAGGTTTACTGAGAGAAAGCTCCCGAGAGACAGGAGGGGTCCTGGAAGTGGGTTGTGCTGAGGTTCTTTATTCAGTGATATTTTACGCAGAAAATCACAATGTGGGAACAACATGGGTAGTTGTGGGTCAAACCATAATCAACCTGTAGGTTTGATTATAAGTATAGCTGCTCAGATAATACCGATCCAATGGGGAAGCAGGGCATGCAGCAAGTGTGCATGGTGGGGGGTGCTAACTTTAACTTATCTCTAACTTCTAACATGGAACAAAGGCATTACTGGAAAGGGATGAGCAATTGACGGAGACCACTATGAAGCGGCTCTGAGCAGGATTTAATATTAACCAATTGGCTTTTCATGTTCACCTGTGAGTTGTCTGAAGCTTAGGCACCTTGTCTAAAGAGTGGCAGTTGACTCATAGTAAGTAAACCTCTGTGAGTCACTGGTCACCGCTGAGGCCTGTATTGGCCTGTGAAACTGTGACACAGAGGACAAGATAAGGCCACATCTGAGCTGGCTCCAACACCAGTTAACTTAAAGGAGACTAGCTGTAGGCATCTCACTCCTGTGCTGAAGGCCTGCCTGGAGATAACATAAATTAACATAATTCTCCTAAATTAACATAATGTATTACTTGGAGAAGTCCTTAGAGGGATTCCCAAGTCCTGCTGAGATTCCCATGTTTTCTTGAGTATCCGCCTCCTTTTTTTGTAAACCAAATAAATATGGGCTGCCCAGAGGAGTCTCTGTCTAAACTCAGAGAATATCAAAGCTGTAAGAGAGTCCCTCCTGGAGCCCTGAAATCATTACAGTTTTCTCATTTATTTAAGCCTTCATGGTCCACTTGCTTGGGAGATTGTGGGCTTGATCAGCCCACAATAACTAAGAGGTATATAACCCGATAAGCAATGGGTGAGGGTGTTCTGGTCTCTTACCTATGTGTCCCCTGCCTTTGCGGCCCACTGGACCAGGTGGTGCTAAGTACAGTGGTGTTGTGAGCTGCTTTCTCTCTCTAAGGAGGCCTGCAGGCCTGCCCCTCTTTGCGTGCACCTGCAGCCGCAGTCTTGGTCTTGCCTTTGGCAGTGACTTGGGGGCCTGAGCCCTCCCTGGCCACCTATTAACTTCTATGGCTTAGCTGTGTGTGATATTTCAGCCCTTATTGTTTAAGCTCCGTGAGGGCTGAGGCCCAGCACAGTGCTTGACACACAGCAGGTATTCAGTCAGTGGTTGGATGGAGGATGCAGGTGCCTGCTGCAGAGTGTGCAGGAGGAGGAGGGCTGGGCCCCGGAGGAGGTGACCTCCCTCTGCAGGCCCTCCATGCCCCCTGCCAGCTTGTTCTGCGCGTTTACGAAACCTGACAGTGTTCTCTTGCCAATCTCTCCCTGCCAGTCATAGTGTGCAAGAAATTACTTAACCATTTCCTCACTGATAGACATTCAGACTGGGTTTGGGGGTTTACAGATGTTGTGCAGACACAGTTTGAATCTTCTCCTGGGCCCTTGTGTGAATGTTCCTCTTGATGGCAGGAAGGAATGTGTGCTTTTTCACACTGACCAAATTGCTCCCCCAAAAGCCTCAGGGCCTCTGCGTTCCACAGCAGCCAGCAAATACATCACATCCATTTCCATCGCTTTGGTCTTTTGGCAGCAAAAGTTGTCCAGGGTTTGTCCTGTTACTTGTGTTCTGGGGAACTCCTGGAGCCTGGCCTCGGGTGTGAGTGGCAGAGGCGGGAGGGCCTCCAGTAGGCAAAGTGAAAGTGAGACGTGGCAGGCTACAAATGGGCCCTCCCTGCACTTGAGGCCCCACCTCAAGAGGAAAGGGCAGCAGTGGCTTGGACCTTGGTTCGTAGGCGCCAGGTGAGCAGCTGGTAATGAGCAGGGGCACTAGGCTGGCCCAGCGCCCCTTTCTGGCTCTTTTAATGCATGGTGGAGCGTGCAGCCCCGCAGGTGGGAGGGCCCTTAAAAAGGGGCACAAGCGGGGCTCTTGGGAGCCTCCTGCCCACGGCCTGTATCTTCTCTGGGTAGTAGTGCCCTGTGCCCTCCTAGGATCGAGGCTGGCCTGGCAGGCACTGTCTGCCCCTCCAGTGAACCACACGGTTGTGGGCTGGAGGGCACCCTCATCCCCACCCAGTCACAAACAGCCTGTCCTCAACCTGGGAAGGCTCCAAGGCTGAGGGTGGGGTTCTCCTGTCATGTCCATTCCCCATCCTTGTGCCCACCCTGCCATGATGGCAGGAGAGCTGGTGAACCGAGCCCCGGGGGAAGACAGCAGGGGCCCCCTTTGGGTGCAGCCTGGGCTAGGGAGGGGTTGTGGGGTGTCTGGAGGCCCTCAGGTGACCCCTTGCACCCCTCAGTGCCTCTGGAGGTGACTTGCAGGTGTGGGTGACACACCTGGCCTGCAGTCCCACCTGGCTTTGCTCACTCCCGGCGCACAGGGGCAGGTATTACTCTAGGTGCCTTCCTCCATGGGGTGGCGCTGTGACCACCACGATTTAGCTGGCCCTTGCCTCAGTTTCCCCAGGACATGTAAAGGTCTGTCCTCCCGGTTGGCACAGAGGGGCCTCCTCCCTGCTGTGGGCCCTGAGCCAGAGCGGGGAAGCAGGTCCCTCAGCAAGGCTGTACCGGGGCCAGGCAGGCAACAGACAGGAATGGGATGTTCTCAGGAGACTCTCGGGATGTGTCAGCTTGTTGCCCCAACCTTTGCAGAAGTCAGTCAGCTTATCACTCCAGAAGAGAAATGTGCTGGGCTTTCTGTGGCTCTTGAAAGGCGCCGAACTTCCTCCCCACACAGAGCTAATGGCATGGACACTTCCTCCACGGTGTGCTCCTTGTGGTCACGTGCTGCTCCAGTTGGCCTGTTTGGCAGACGCTCAGGAAACCTGTGGGGCCATGTGTGGACGGCTGTCCCTCAGACATGACTTCCCTTTTTCCCCAGGGCAAATGTGTGCTGTGCTCAGTCTCAGGGCCTCAGTAGCCATTATCTGAGGTCGTTGTTGTCTTGTGTGTTCAGATTCCCTGCCTGTTCCTATCAGGTTTCAGGGCCTGAGACCTGTACCTGGCCAGCACAGGCCAGCCTGGCCAGCACAGGCCTTGTGCTCCCCAGCTGGCTGACAGGCGGCCCTGTCCTTGGACTGGGCCTGGGCCATCCCACCCAGAGAGGACAGGGAGTGCCAGGTCCAGGATGGTTATGGAAGCAGTGCTGAATGACTATCCACAAATCAGCCCAAGTGCCCCCAGCTGCCTGGTGCCTCACTTTGTGCTGCTTCTAGACCATGAGGCATCTGGGAGTTCCAGCCTTGTGCTCAGTGGTGTGGGCTGTGGCACTGCCTGCCAGCCTGGCCTGTACTCAGCACAGGTTGGGCTGGAGGACAGCAAAGGCTTTCACAGCCAGCCTGGACTTCCTGTTGGGGTCCCCAGACCACCATACCCCATCCTTGCTCAAGCCAACAAGAAGTCAGGGAGTCCCCAGGCCAGACTTGTTGTTCTGTCCTCTCTTGGACAGGAGGTGCCACCGTGGCTGGTGACCTCTGTACCCCACAGTTGTGCTCCCCCAGCTTTGCTGCCTGTGCTGGAGCCAGGGGGTCCAGCACCTCCCATCTGCTCCTGGAGCCAAAATAGCTAGAGTCAAGGATGGAGGCAGAACAGGCCTTTGCTGGGAGGGACAGGCCTTTCCCATTCAGTGCCCCTTGTCCTGAGTGGTGAGAACTTGTGGCCTGTGGAGCTGTGAGAGTTTGCTAAGAGTTCTATTTCTCTGCCTCCTGCCCAGACGACACTGTATCCAACATGAGTCTCGAGATCTGTCACGAGCAGCTGAGTGATGCCAGGTGGATGGAGCTCCTGCCGCTGATCCAGCAGCACCAAGTGGTCAGGTACAGGCAGCTGGGTCAGCTTGAGGTGTGGGGACAGATTGGAGGGGGCTCACCATGCTGCAGAATCTCAGTGTTCCTGGCACATGGTGCAACGTGTTATTCTTATGGTTGTTTTTCAACCCTTAAAAAATACAAAAACCAGCTGGGCGTGGTGGCACATACCTGTAATCCCAGCACTTGGGAGGCTGAGGCAGGAGGATTGTTACAAGTTTGAGACCAACCTGGGCTACAAAATGAGCTCAAGGCCAACCTGAACTGCATAGTGAGACCCTGTCTCAAAAAGACAAACAAATAAAAAAAATAAAAATAAAAACCACTGGAGCCAGGCATGGTGGCACACACCTGTAATCCCAGCACTTGGGAGGCTGAGGCAGGAGGATCACCGTGAATTCAAGGCCAGCCTGAACTACATAGTGAGACCATCTAAAAAAAACACATAAAAACTACTGGCGATGTAGTTCAGGGGTAGAGCACTTGTCTGGCATGCACAAGGCCCTGGGTTCCATCCCCAACAGTGCAAAATCATAAGATTATGTATATGAAGGTGTGTATATTTGCATGTATTTATATGTGCATGTATGTGTACATGCATGTACTTATGAGTGTCTATTGATGCATGTTTTTGTGCATACATATCTGTGTACATACACTCACGTTTATACATTGCACAAGGACATATCTGCACATGTGTGCTCATGTATTTGTGAACACGTGTGCATGTTTATGGATAGATGTATGTACATGCAAGTTGCATGTGTTTATGCATGTGTCTAAATGCACATGCTTACATGTGTATATGCACATGTATGCTTATATGTATGTGAATGTATGTATACTGCACGTGGACTTATATGTGTGCATATATATATATGCATTTTCCAGTGTGTGCATGTATGGATGCATGCTTATGTATATATATTCATATGTATGCCTGTTTATACACATGCATCTGTAAACTGCATGTTATATGCCTGTGCATGCACGTTTATATGTGCGTTTATATATACATGTTTACATGTAGCTGTGTGTATGCATGCATGTGTGTTTGTATACACGCACATATATGCACCTGTGTAAAAACCACTGCCAGCTCCACAGAGTGGCCTGGGGCAGAAGGTAGCGGCAGGGTCAGCTGGGCAGCTTCCTGGTGACGGGCAGCTGGTCCTTGCTGTTGACCCCTCTCCTCCCCTGGGGACAGCAGCAGGATGAGGCACAGGTTCCAGCTGCTGCTGTGGAGACTGCGCCTGTCCTGCCCAGCTCTGGCTGGGGGTGGAGTCAGACCAACCCCCGGTGCTCACAGACCCAGGGTTCCTCAGGCCTTGGGTGAGAAACAGTGCTTGTTCGGCCACCGTTTCCCTTCTCCCGATTCTGTACCTGGTATTTGCAGCTTTGCAGCAGTCAGAAAGGCCATGTATGTCCTCTTGGCCTCCATCAGCCTCCCCTGATGACCATCGTGAAGATGCTTACATGGCCCAGCTGACCCCAGTTGCCAGCTTTGCCCTCTGCCCTTGCCCTGCCCTGCAAGGGTCCCTGTGACCTGACTTTGAGTCTGGATGTCCTGCTGTGTCCCTCTGGGCTTGTCTGGTCTCTTTTCATGATGGTTGCCCGTTTCCGGCAGGAACACGGAGCTCCTGTGGGTCCTGTCTGGCACATCCTGTCCTGGGTGTGGAGTGGCACTGTGTGGTCACCACAGCTTCTGGCTCCTCCCTGGGTTATGATTTCCTCCCACAAGTGACATGCGTCTAAGGTGCTGTGTTGAGACCTGAGCTCAACCCTCTTTCTGCTCAGTTCTGCTGCTGGTGTCAGCCTCTTTGGCGGCTCTATCTGAAGTCACTGTGGCAGTGCATTTTGTCATTTCTTCATTCCTTCCACTTTCTCAACCATCATTCTTCAGTGGTAAGAGCTGGCTTTCTTCCCACTATGTTGGTTCACTTATTCATGTGAATCAGAGTGGATTTGAGATACAGCCTGGTGCCATCCTCCATGTCCACTGGGAATGCTCGGCCCCTGTGAGCCCCAGACCAGCTGTCACTCTGATGCAGCCTCATGGTCATCACCTAGCACAGGTCTGTCCCTCCCTGCAGACACACAGGACCTGTTATGGCTTGTGTTCCCTGAAAGACACGGAGAACACGACAACCCCACACTTGTGCATTGCTGCTCTTCTGTGTTGCATTTTAAGTGTCATCATTAGCACCCTTTGACCTGCTGGGCTGCTGATGGTCCTGGCCTGAGGTATGAGAGGGTCACTGGTTCTGAGACTAGCACTGACCAACTGTGATCTTGAGGGTCTGTCCCCAGGCTAGAGTTCTGTGACCTCACGGAGGGCCGGTGCAGAGACATCAGTTCCGCGCTGTGGGCCAACCCCACCCTGACAGAGCTCAGTCTAAACCACAACGAGCTGGGGGACGCCGGTGTGCACCTGGTGCTGCAGGGCCTGCAGAGCCCCACGTGCAAGATCCAGAGTCTCAGGTGAGGCCTGGAACAGCCTGCTGGGCAGCCAGGTGGGGTCAGGAGAGCTGCCAGGCACTGCAGGTGTCTGCAGGGTATGGGTGGCATCCACAGGCACCCATTTCTCCAGCCAGAGGCACATAGGTGAGGTGGCTGCCATGTGGGGACATAGTACCCTCTGGCCTTGTCCCAGGCCTTGGTCCCACTCAAGTAAGGGTCTGGCCTATGGCCCCATAGCCCCCTCCTGCCCCATCCAGACTCAGGGATGCTGCTCAGAGGGGTGGGGCACCATGCTCTGCAGGGTACTTCTTGGCATCTGGTGGATGTGGAGGTCACTGAGAGTCTTGTGCTCCAGCCTGCAGTACTGTGGCCTGACAGAGACTGGCTGTGGGGTCTTGTCCAGCCTGCTGCCCTCCATGCCCACTCTGCGGGAGCTGTACCTCAGCGGAAACTCACTGGGGGATGGGGGCCTGCTGCTGCTCTCCAAGGGACTGCAGGATGCCCAGTGCCACCTGGAGAAGCTGCAGTGAGTCTGTCCTGAGGGACCTCTGGGCTCCCTACTGCCCCAGCTGGTCCCCAGCAGGGCCCATGCACAGCCTCAGCCCTGTGGCCACCAGAGTTGTGAGGGGCATGTGGGGCCCTAGGGCCCTTGTAGTGTCCCTTCCCCAGGGTTCTGCATGTCTGCTTGGCAAGGGGCTGCCAGCTGAGCCTGGTATGACTCAGGGGACACCAGGGTGACACAGCCCAGCACAGGTGGTCCTGCCCGTGGGCTGGTTTCTTTCTGCTGGGTCTGGGGAAGTCTCAGAGCTGCGCTTTCAGAGCGTTTCCTAAAGGAATGTCCAGTATGTCTGGAGGCTCTGAGTGTTCATGGTCCCTGACTTCAGCCCTGGCTTAAGGTAGGAGAGGGTGGAGGCCAAGGGGGGATGGATGAGGAAAGCAGCAGATCTTGCACCTCCCTGACTCCCTGAGGCATGGGGTAGGCTGAGACCCTGCCTGCCCCCAGGCTGGAGTACTGCAACCTCTCGGATGCCAGCTGTGAGCCTCTGGCCTCCGTGCTGAAGGCCAAATCCAACATCAAGGAGCTGGTCGTGAGCAATAATGACATCCATGAGGCAGGCATGCGCACACTCCTCAGGGGCCTGAAGGACTCTGCCTGTCTATTGGAGACACTCTGGTACGCACTGGGCCTCGGGGACAGGGGTGGAGCTGGTAGCTCACGGTCCGCCTCAGACACGGCACTGTCTCCAGGCTAGAGAGCAGCGGTGTTACAGCAGCCAACTGCAAGGATCTGTGTGATGTTATGGCTGCCAGGCCCTTCCTGCAGGATCTGGAACTGGGCGACAGCAGGCTGGGCGATGCAGGTGTCGCAACGCTGTGCTCATGGCTGCTGCACCCCAGCTGCAGGCTCAGGAAGCTGTGGTGAGTCGGCACCCAGATGGGGTGGTGGCAGTGATAGACCCTGTCTTGTCTTGGTCCTTCCTTGGCAAGTGTCAATGTCTTGCAGGCTCTGGGAGTGTGACATCACTGCCAAGGGCTGCAGGGACCTGTCCCAGGTCCTCAGGACCAACCAGAACCTGAAGGCACTCAGCCTTATGCTCAACAGGCTGGGTGATGAGGGCGCCCAGCTGCTGTGCGAGGCCCTGCAGGAGCCCACCTGCCAGCTGGAGTGTCTGTGGTGAGGGCAAGGGGCTGGGCTGGAGGTGGACCCTTTTTTGGGACAGTGGGACCCATACAGAGATTGCAGGGTGCCAAGGGGACCATAGCACGGCATGGGGAGCAGCTGGGGGCCCAGAAGGGGTGGGCCCAGTGGGGCCTGGGAAATGAGGGTGAGTCCTGAAGACAGGGTGCTGGGGGGAGTTCCGGTCCCAGCCCTGGCCAGCCAGGCCCTGCCCTGTCTGTCCCACAGGGTTAAGGAATGCAGCTTCACAGCCGCCTGCTGCCCCTACTTCCGGGCGGTGCTGGCCCAGAACAAGTTTCTCACAGAGCTGCAGTTGGGTGAGAACAATCTGGGTGACACCGGTGTGCAGGAGTTGTGCCAGGGCCTGGGCCAGCCGGGCTCTGTGCTGCAGGTGCTCGGGTGAGTATGTGCGCACGTGTGGCTCCTGGCTCGGATGGTGAGGTCTTCACAGGTGGGCTGACAGCTGGGAGGGAGGAAGGGGGTACCAGAGCCTCTCCCACTGTCGCTGACCAGAGCCCTGGGAGGGTAGCTGCTGATCCACCCACTTTGCTGAGCACTTCCAGCAGCTTCCGAGGAGGAAGTTTCTGCAGCACGCTGGCCTGTGCTGCCTGGTCACTTAGTGGGTGCGGGGTTCTGGGCCTCCTCCCTGCTGTTGCTTTTTGGCTCCCAGGGCGGCTCTCTTGTCCTTGATCTGTGCTCTCTCCCTGGTGGCTTTGACAGATTTGGCCTTGTGTCCTGGACTGGGTGTGCCTCACCTTGGTGTGGGCCATGGTCCCAAGAAGTGTGCTCTTTGTCTTTCATCTCTCCTCTTCTTCCTGGCAGGCCCAGCACTCTGCCCTTGGGTCGCAGGGACTGGCCCTGCAGTGTGCTCTTCCCCCTCCTTTTTCCCTCTTCCAGTTTTTGTTCTTTGTTTTGGAGCTTCTCATTTTCCAACCAGTCTCCCAAAGTTTTCCTTTCTGCTCTTGGGTGTTAGTTCTTTGCTGTTGTCTGTCTGTGCCTCCTGCGGGTGGCTCTGCTTGGTGCTGGCATCCTGGGCATCGGGAAGGGTTGGACTGGCCAGCCTGGAGCACAGCCTTGCAGTTTGCTGCCCAGCAGTCACGATCCTGGCTGCCGAGGCTGTGGGCCCTCACGGCCAAGTAGGAAAGGAGCATTGCTGCTCTCCAGGAAAGAGGTCCTGGCTCCCACCCCCATCTTGGAGACAGAGTGGGTGTGGCTGCACACCACCATGGGGTGCCAGGGCTGCCTTGGTCCTGCCCTTGTGGGAGTGGGTGCTGGGGCTGCCCACCGTCCTTCCTCTGGAGACAGCCTGCCTCCTCGCATCTGCCCTGCACTGTCCTTTGCCTTAGCTCAGACAGGCTCTGGCTATGGGGGAGGCGAGGTGTGGTGTGTCCACTCCTTTCCCATCTTTAGCAGGGACATCACCTGGGCTATGAGGGGACTGTGAAGGGACCAGGGGATAGGCTGGACTGAAGAACAGGCCCCCTGAAGTCCTGACTTGCAGCAGGGAGGCGTATTGCAGGGTTTGTGGCCTTGTGGCTGTGGGCTTTCACCAATCCATGGTGTGAAGGGAGCGTAGGCCAGTCCATCAGCTGGTCTTGTCCTAATCCCTGCCTGCCCCCCACACAGGTTGGTGGACTGTAAGTTGACCAACAGCAGCTGCAGCAGCCTCGCCTCGGTCCTGCTGGCCTGCCATAGCCTGCGGGTGCTGGACCTCAGCAACAACGGCCTGGGGGACCCTGGTGCCTTACAGCTGCTGGAGAGCCTCCGGCAGCCAGCCTGTGCCCTGGATTGCTTGGCGTGAGTGGTGTGGGCGCCTGGGGCTTGTGCAGGGGGCCTTACATCTGGCGGGTATGGAAATAGGCACTCCCTCCTGCCCGCAGCGTGTTCGATGTGTACCTGAGCAGTGGGGTGTGGGACCAGCTGGAGGCTCTGGAGAAGGAGAAGCCGTCCTTGAGGATCATCTCCTGAGGCCCACCTTCTGCAGGCTCCCAGAATCTGCTTTCTGCACATGGAGGCTGGTTATCACTGCTGACCTGCTCCCTGGGGCGCCTTCTGCGGGTGTCCTGGCTGTGACTGGACAGAGACACCGTGCAAACTACTCCTTGGTATAATTATTAAAGGGCTTTGTTGGCAGGCGGGGTCCTGTCCTTCCTTGTGGTCTCTGTGCAGCTTGGTGTGTGCCCTCTTGCTTAGCAGATCAGCACAGCAGCTCTCAGCACCACACCCTCTGCCTGGGACAGCTGTGGCTCCCGCAAGGCCTGCAGAGTCCTGGGGCCAGCCCCATACCTCGGGTGGCGAGGCAGGCCTTCAGGTGACCTGTCACCTTTGGTGCTTCTGCCCCCAGACAGGAAGTCTATGTCCTGCCCACTCTGGGCAGTGCCCAGTGTAATCCCAAAGGACACTTCCGTATGCTGAAACCCAAGAGGGCTTGGGGTGGACCAGTGGTGGATCATGTGCTCTGTAAGTGCAAGGCCCAGGGTTTCACCCGCCACATGCACCTGTGCCCACACACACAATCCCAAGACATCAAAATCCTTAGTATAAAATCCCTATATTTCTCTTTAAAATAATAAAAAAAAAATCCCTACATTCACAATCCCTAAAGATAAAATCCCCAAAGTTGAACTCCTGAAACCCCAAATCACCAAAATGGTACTCTGAAAAATAAGGCAGAGAAGGGTGTCCAAACTTTTGGTTTGCCAGGGCCACACTCAGTGAAGAGGACCTGTCTTGGGCCACAGAGAACATATAGAACAGAGTTAATATATAGGACTAACAACATTTCCTTTATTCTTAAATTTTTTTATTGTAATGTTTAAAAAAGAGGGCAACATAAGCTAGCATAGAGGTTGGACTCCATCTGATGATTCTGGCCATGTGACAGGGCAACTGTGAAGTTTGAAAATGTTATCTGATTGCTATAAGCAGAAGAATGAAAATGTAAACATCAACTCTAAATGGATTAAAGGCCTGAGTGTAAGACCTGAGGCCATGGACTACGAGAAGAAAGCTTAAAGACACTGGATATTGGAGACCCTTTCCTGGCACTAGGGGAAGAAAGTCTCCTTTCCTCCTTATTGGGGGCCACTTCAGTGAGTCCCCGGTCTCCTGCCTGGAGTTATGCCCCATGGCAGGAAACAAAAGAAGAGCAAGAGACAAAAGTGATGAGTGCAGCAGGGATCTGAGATGACCACTTGCTCTCCAGGAAAAAAGGCCATGAGGCACCCAGAAACTTGGTATTTACTGGTTACATCTAAGTCGACAGTGGGTGAAGGGCAGTGGTATTTTTGGGAACAGTGATGGTGACTATGGTGGGCTAGTAAGAACAAAGTGTTCTTGCAAGGACGAGGAGACAGGAGGGCAGTGAGGAAAATCTAGTTTCCCCAGGTGCCTTACTGTCTTCAATGGTTCTTATCTTGCCCTGTGAGCAATACAGCAGTCATTAGCCCTGGGGCTGGGGCCGGGGCTCAGTGGTACAGTTCCTGCCTGGCAAGCTGAAGGTCCTGACTTTGATTCCCAGCAGCCCCTGACCAAAAAATTAGCCCTGGGGCTTCCAGCTGTGACCAGAAAAGACTAGGGAGTTTCCCTGTTCCAGTTTGGCTGAAAGGGCCAGACAAGACAAGCTTGGACATCCCCTAGACTCAAATTATAATTCATGGTCGCCAACAATTGGAATGGTCAAAGAGTTTTTGGATATGACCCCAAAAGTACAGCAAACAAGGGCAAAAATAGACAAGTAGGGTTATACCAAACTAAAAAGCTGTACAGTAAACAGAGTGAAGACACAACTATGGGATGGGGGAATACTTGCAAGCTATGCACCCAATGTGGGGTTATAATCCAGAAGACCGATGGGACTCAAAAAAGCTCAGCAGCAAAAACACAAGACTTACAAGTGGCCAACAGGGGTATGAAACGTGTTCAATGTCACTATAAGGAATGCAGTTCACAACAGCTGTTACCTCACTAGCGCATGGACTGTTATTCAAAAGACAAGAGAAGTGTGGGCCAATGTGTGGGCCAACTTTCCCACTGTTGGTGGGAAAGTAAATTAGCGCAGGCCTTTTGGAAAGCAGTGTGATAGATACTCCTCAGAAAAGTATAAATAGGGGCTGGGGATGTAGCTCAGCAGCATAAGTGCGTGCCTGGCAAGCCTGAGGTCATGGGTTAGATTCCTGGTACCCAAAAAAAAAAAAAAAAAAGTATAAATAGATCAACCATAGGATCCTGCAAAACCAAGTGGGGTATATCCAGAGGAAATGCAATCAGTACGTTGAAGAGAGATCTGCACTGTTTATAGCCAAGAAGTGGAAACAAGCTAACTGTCCATCAACTGACAAATGGAAACACGTGGTAAATACACACAAGGAATGTTATTCAGTCACAAGAAATGAAATCCTGTCCTGGGGCAACAGGGAGAGACCTAGCAATGCCCGTTAAGTGGAATAAACTGGGCCTACCTGAACTCCCTCTGGGAACCACAAACAATTGATCTCAGCAGCTGGGAGGGGAACGGTGGTTTCCAGAGACCAGCAGCGTGGGGCTGAGGGAAGAGTCTGCCAAATAACTAAGCTTTAGTTAGGGAAGTAAGTTCTGGTGTGTGTGTGCTGCTGCACAGTAGGGGACTGTAGATGATAGTGTACTCACACGCCACGCTACAGGAAAGGTTTGTGATGCTCTCACCACAAACGAATGAAAAAAGAACTAGCCAAGCCTGATTTGAACATTACGTATGAATATGTGTGTCAAAATATTACACTGCTACTGTAAATATGTATGACTTTTGTCAAATGACTTTTGAACTCAGGTCATTTGTCCACATTGGCAACCCTCCTCACTGATGCAGTTCTAGCTCTTAATGAATCAAAGGTGCTTTTGCCTGAAGAAGACAGTGAAGTTATTGGTTCAAAAATAACCACCGCTCAGTAGGAGGGGACAAGACAGTATTACTGCTCCCTTGCCCACACTGTGCCTGACAAACCTGCCTGTATTGAGCACATGTGGGACGATTCATCTGTACTCAGGACAAGAGTGTGGCTCAGTGGGAAATTCTAGAGGGGAAGGCTCAGGTTGGTGTCCATCGGAGGGAGAGTGACTTCAAAGCTCTAGGTAGAAAGTGGAGGGGAACATCTCACCAAGGACAGCTGTGCAAAACAGCTCTTGAACAGGGCTTCACATGTAGCGAAGGACTGAGTTAGCAGCCCCCACGGGCCACCTCTGCATGGCCCATGACCCATCCTGGGAATGCACTTTCTTCTATGCTGAATTCTTAGTTTTCCCAAAATTGCCACCATGATGCTCACAATATGCTGTGATGCTTCATCTTTGTATAATTTATAACAGCGTGGGTATAAATAGTGTAGACTTTAGAATTCTAATTTGGTTTATGCGTTTTTGACAAGTTTGACTTGATGAAAATGCATTGTAATGCTGATAAAGAAAATCAGCAGGACATGGTGGCACATGCATGTAATCCCAGAACTCTGGAGGCTGAAGCAGGAGGACTGTTGTGAGTTTGAGACCAGGTTGGGCTACATAGTAAGTTCAAGACCAGCCTGAACTACACAGTGAGACCCTAACATTTTGGCTCTTTGGGCAACTGCTTGTGCAGCAGTATTTTTTTTTTTTTTTTTTAATAAAATGGGGATGGAATCCAGGACCTCACACGTGCTAGGAAAGTGCTCTAACCTTAAGGTATAACCCCAAACTTTTTATTTTGAAAGTCTTGCTAAACTGCCCAGGCTAGGCTGAAACTTTCAATCCTGCTTAGGTCTCCAAGTAGCTGGGACTGCAGCTGCATGATCATGCCCAGTTTACAATTTCCTTTTTTTTTTGTTGGTTTTTCTCCAGTACCGGGAACCGAACTCACGACCTTGTGCTTGCCAGGCAGGCACTTCGCCGCTGAGCTAAATCCCCAGCCCCTACAATTTCCTTTTTATTATTATTTTTTTGTGTGTGTCTTTTTTGAGACAGGGACTCGCTAAGCAGTTCAGGCTGGACTTGAGCTCACTTTGTAGCTCAGGCTGGTCTCGAACTTGCAATGATCCTCCTGCCTCAGCCTCTTGAGTGCTGGGATTACAAGGGTATGCCACCACACCCGGCTCACATTTTGCTTCTTTATTAGTTTGTCTGCTCTATAATGTTATATCCATGCAACTGTTAGTACACCTGTTAGTATACCAACTTTATACTGGGAAAAATTATTTGCCTATTTAACTTCTTTTATTTTGTCTTTTGAGACAGGGTTTTACTATGTAATTCAGGATGGCCCTGATCTCTTGCCTCAGCTCCTGAGTGCTAGGATTACAGGTGTCTGTCACCATGCTTGGCTTTAAGGAAGTTTTAAAAATAAAATTTTCTGGAATTGTATTTTGGGGGATTAGAATTATTTGAGAGTTCAAAACTGGGATGACAAGCTGGGTGTGGTGGCACATGCCTGTAATCCCAGCACTTGGGAGGCTGAGGCAGGAGGATCGTTGCAAGTACTGAGACAAGCCTGAGCTACAGTGAGCTCAAGGCCAGCCTGAACTACATAGCGAGACCCTGTCTCAACAAACAACCAACAAAGAACTGGGATGATGGCCTTCAAGACTGTGGCCCAAACCTGCCTTTGCTTGGAGGTCTGCTTGGCTGTGCAGCATCCCTGTGTACAGTGATGTCCTGCAAGGTGGTATGCAAGGGGACTCGCCCCTGGACTTGGCTGCTTGAGCCCTGCTAGCCCCAGATGTTTCCCTTAAACACCTGGCTGCCCAGAGCCTTGTGCCCAGGTCAGTTTAGGGTGGTGGAAGGGTTCCCTTATGTCCAGCGGGGCTCGTCTAAGGTAGGCCACATGGTAGAGAGGGAACATTCAAAGCCCAAGATAAAGCCCTTGAAAGGGCCCCAGGATCTCTGCTTCCATGTGTAAGTCCTCCCCTCCAAAGAACCAGGGTGCCACAGATAAACAGCTGACCCAGGGCCCCAGGACGAGCAGCACCCTCTGTGGGGAAGAGCATCACGGGGCCCTAGAGATGGCCTAGGTCCGAGTGGGAAGATGGTGACCGCTTGTGCAGAACGTGCAGATGGGTTGGGACAAGTGACCTGATCCAGGGACACAGCAGGCTCATCCTGTCCCCGTCTCCAGGGTGCAGGCCTTATGCACCCCACGTTCTGGCCTTAAAATAGGCACTGAAAAGCAGGGGCTTGGGGTGCGGCTCAGTAGCACACGGCTTGTGCGGCTGCAGTCCTCAGCACCCACAAAGAGCTTCAGAAGCCTGGTCCTTGCAGGTTGAGTGGGTGTAGCTGGTGCCCAGCCTTGGGTCCTGTCCTAGAGCAGGTCTCAGTGTCCATGGTGGGGGCCTCGCCCTCACCCAGGTGGGAGGACTTGGAATTATGGCACTTTCCTCTCATTTGTGTCTGAAAATTTCCTGAGTTTGATCCTCAGAACCACAAAAATGACAAATCTTTGAAGTTTTTACTTTACTAGCGGGGGGAAAAAAATACCAAGTGAGAAGACAGCTGCTCCTCCCCAGTACTACCTGCTCCTGTCCCTTGGCCGTTCCTCAGCAGTGACCAGCCCTGTCCCCTGCAGGAGGCAAATGCGGACATGGCGGAGCTGCAGAAGGCTCTGGGGACCCCAAGCCTAGGACAGCAGCGGGCCACTGCCCTCTCAGTGGCTGTGGCAGAGCTGCATCCTGTGCAGCTCCCTCCAGCAAGGGCCCCTGGTCCAGGCAAGGAGGGATAGAGGCTGCAGACTTCCATCACTTTATTTGTTCTGTCTGCTCGAGAAGACACTCTAAACTCGAGCTATGGAACAACACAACCCTGGTGCCCAATTGCAGCCCTGGTCTTGGAGCCTGTGCATGACATGCGTGCTTAAGGGGCCTGGATGACAACCTCCGTTCCGTCCTGTTCCACTCAGGACAGAGTCTGGTTAGCAGAGGCTCTGGAGGAAGTGGCCCAGTGCCACTGCAGCATGGGTCCTTCACTTGTGCCACTGGTGGGCATGTCAGCAGGTCCTGTGGGGCCACATGGAGGAAGGGCACAGGCTGTTCCTCCCAGGCTGGCTGAGGCTAGGCACTGGATAGTCTGTGGGTACAGGCCCTGGCCAGCCAGGCACAGGAAGGGGCAGGACCCTGCTGTAGAGCACGGCCCGGGAACCACCACCAGCTGTTGATCTTGGGGCTGCTCCAGTACACTGCACATATGTGCACATGCTTGGCTGTGCACATGTCTGTGCACTTAGGTGGACAGGTACATGGGAGCATGGGAGGAGGGGAAAAGAGTCCCAGGAGGCAAGGCCTGCAGGAGGGCTGGCGCTCATGAGGCAGCTGCCACGCCTTCCTCGGTGACGTCCTCCTTTTCAGAGGCCCCAGGTGCCAGCAGATCATCATCCAGCCCTGAGTGCTCATCCTTGTTGCTGACTGCCCTTCCCTGGTCACTCTGCTGCTTCTGCCTCCGTGTCTCCTTGTACCGCAAGGTAATATCCCTGGGAGAGTAAAGGCCATCTCACCATCTGTGCACCGCAGCCCTGGTGGACACCTGGTACTGTCACCCAGAGAAGCCCACAAGGGACACAGATGAGGGGGAGACGAACGGTGCAGAGTGAGCCATGGGTGCGGTGGGGATGGTGCAGGCTGGACGCATGGAGGCAGCAGCTGGGGAGATGGGAGCAGAGGCAGTTGGGCAGGGCAACGGCTGAGGTCCTGGGCCGCTCACCGCAGGAAGAAGCGCCAGATGGTCCAGGTGAGCACCAGGACAGAGCCAAGTGTCCAGCACTGGGAGATGTAGAAAGGCAGGGACAGGGTGAGTGTGTGCGGGTCGTACTTCACCACAATGAGCAGCTCGGTGACTGTGATGGCTGCCACGAGCCAGGCCTGCTGGCCCAGCTTCTTGTGCGGCTTCCTGTAGAGGAGGCAGCAGTTGTGTGCTCACCCAGACCCCACCCCAGGGTGCCTCCCGTCTCATCCCTCTCCTCAGGACCCTCAGGCTGGCAGCAACCCTCACAAATCATCCATGAAGTCATAGATCTCACGCATGGCCACACCGCCCACGTTCACAAAGAAGACCAGCCGCAGCAGGACCAGGTAGTGCTCGGGGGGCATCCACAGCACAAACTTCAGGTAGAAGGTGTTCAGCTCCGCCAGCAGGAACTAGGGGACGGGAGGGGTCAGCACGGATCAGGGTGCCCGGTGAGCACAGCCGTGAGGGGCCCCGGCCTTACCACCAGGATGATGCCGCACACGGCCAGCCAGCGGCGCAGGCTAGAGGCTGGCTTCCACTCGAAGCGGACCCAGCTGTAGGGTGTGAACTGGAAGGCTATGCGCTTCATCTTGCCCCTGGGAATAGAGCCGGGCCTGAGCACAGCCAGCTCCACCCACTGGCACCGGCTCTGCTCCTGGTCATGGCTGAGGCAGCAGGGTGGCTGGTGCCCGGTGCCCAGGTGCTGCTCCAGTCCCCGCCCTGCCTTGTTCAGAATCCCATGGGGCCCTCAGCAAGATGGGGGGCTGTCACACTCCATTGCCCCCAGGCCTTCTGCAGGTTCTCATTTTTCTCTTCTCTTTTAATGAGACAAGGTCCTGCCATATTGCTCAGATTGTCTCAAACTCCTGGGCTGAAGAGATTCTCCTGACTCAGTCTTTCAAGTAGCTGGGTCCTACAGATGCATGCCACTGTACCTAGCTTTGTTCTTTTGTTTAAATCCCAAGGCAAATGTGATAAAGCACCTGGCCTGGCCCACGCCCACTGACCCTGGCCCCCAACTCCTGGAACACACTTGTAGGTGGGGATGTTCCAGAGGCCCTGCCACTTGTACGTCTTCAGGGACAGCCACTCCAGCGTCTTCATGCCACAGTAGATGCCCAGCCCGTTGCAGACCAGCACATCCATGATCCACTGTGCAGGAGGCAGGAGAGACATGAGGCCCAGCCCCAGGACACGTGTGAAGGCCCTGCCCACTACCCTGGCTCCTCAGCACCTACATGGTCCCACCAGCACTCGCTGAAGTTGGGCAGCTGGTGCTCCAGGCTGTACTCCAGGAACTCGAACATCACGCTGATGATCATGCACATCCACCAATCTCGGATCATGAGGGTCTGCAAGGGACACCAAGGCATGGTCAGCAGCGTCCACAGTGGCGTGGATGCACCCCAGTCCAGCAGCTACCAGTGAGCGCAGCACTGGGCAGCTGCCGCAATGTTCAGCTTTCAGCCAGCGTGGGAGTGTCCACTCTGGGTGCTAAGGGAAGGTCAGCCCTACTCTGGGAGCTGAGGTTGTGTGCAGAAGTGGTGCCTGGACCCTGGGGTAGGTAGGTGGAGGTATGTGAGGCTTCCTGTGTGCTGTTCCTCTCCTTCTCCCACCCTGTCAGCACAGTGCCAGGGACACTGAGCAGATCCAATTGGGAGACCAGGCTGCTGCTGAAGGGCTGCAGGAGCCCTGGGGGGCCCTCCTGGGTAGCTCTACACACACCTGTGAGCACAGGCCCAATGACAGGCTCACCCACCACCACACCCAGGTCACCCTGTGGCCAGCGATGGCCAGAAACAAGGGGCTGAGGCAGAGAGCGCCTTACCTTCAGGTACCAGCCAATGAAGTGTGCAGGGACAAACCCGTCCAGCTTGTCCTGTGGGTGACAGGAGGTCCTCAGGCACAGAACTCTCCCACCCGCAATAGAGGCCCTCCCCACTGTGTCAGGGTCTTGCTTACATGCTGAAAGCCCCTGGGACAATCCACCCCGACAGAGCAGAAAGCCTCTCAAATGAGCCCCCACACGTGCATGACAGCCCCTGTGGCACTCTTACCCAGATGTTGTGGAAGGGGTCAGTCTTGTTGTCTGGATCATAGATGAGGCAGTTTCCCCCATAGTCCCTCTCAGGCAGTGGAACCCCGAGCCTGGCATCCACATACTTGAGAAACTGCCGGCCATCACGCACTGTCTGCAAGGCCACAGGTGTCAGATGGGGGACTCAGAGTGAGTGGCTCTGTCTCAGTCAGCCTGTCACAGCACAGGGGCCCCCATCCCTACGCAAGCTGGAGATGTGTGGGCCTGAACCCCAGGTGCGAGCAGAGCAGACCAGACAGGGGCATAAGACTAGGATCCCCAATTTAACAAGGGCAGCCCCATGCTGCTACCTCATGTCTCAGCCATGCCCACAGAGGCCACCCTGGTGGTGTGCCACTGACTTCCTGTAACATGAGGACACACAGTCTTCTGCATCAGGCAGATGCCAGCGTTGGCTGGCAGTTCCTTCCAGCCTTAGTGCAAAGGAAGCTTCTGGGATAGGACCTCAGCAAAGGAGGTGCCCCTCAGAAGGCCACCAGCCAGAGACCTCAGGAAAGCTCAAAGGCCTGGAGGCCAAATACAGAAAAAGGCCCAGGAAGGGGTGGCAAGAGTGAGAACAAACAAGTGCTTAGTACAGGGCAAAGCCACACCAGGAACAGGTTGCCAGACAGCACGGACAGTCTGTGGCAGGGACATTAGAGGCATGGGGTCCTACTGTGACCTGGGCCACAGGTGCTGGGCACAGACACCCTGCCCCTCAGTGTAGTCCCCCCAAGGTCGGGGCTACCTGACCCTAGTGACATCCCAGGGTCTCCTGACCCTGGCACTCAAGTGCCTTTTGAGACCCAAGGGCTTCAGGTGCAGCTGCAATTTGGCCCCTGCTTAGTTGCATGGGCCTTAGTTTGTGAGTCCTCTACTCTTGGGAAAGGTTAGAGGGCCCTGACCCCTAGGCCCTTGGAGAGTAGGAGGCAGTAGGGAAGGAGCTGCGGGGTCCCAGTGCCCACCATTTCTGAACAGGTGCTGCCACATACAGACACAGGCGGCACACATGCCTGGATGCACAGCCAGCACTCAGCACCCAGGACCCAGATCTCAGCCTGAGACCATCCTCCAGGAAGGAACCCTTGCCCTCGGGGAAGCAGCTGACTTCAGGGCTGGGATGGAGGTGCAGATGCCCTGAGCAGCCTGCAGTACCACAGGTAGAAAGGACCCCTATAGATGACGGTGTGCCAGGCATGCAGGAACCACGAGAGACCTGTCAGTGGCCTAAGGAATCTTTTTTTTCTTTTTTTTTTTTTTTGTGGTACTGGGGATCGAACTCAGGACCTTGCACTTGCCAAGCAGGTGCTTGTGCAGCTGAGCTGTATCTCCGGCCCTGGCCTAAGGAATCTATGCAACACAATAAAGAGAGTATTAGATATAACCTGGATATCAAGTACAGATTCTGAGTGCATGCTGATATACATAAGTGACTGAATAATAAATGGAGAAGGGACAAATCTCCCTGCAGAGGAATTCTAAATCATATGAAGTGGCTCTGACCCCAGGAAGGGCTGACATGTCCCTCCTTCCCCAAGGGCAGCATCAGCGACTTTCTTCAGAACACAGCATGCAAAGGGCACAGCAGAGAACCTGCATGGGGACAGATGCTGCCTTATCCTGCCTCATCTGTGCTCAAGGTCAGCCTCAACTGTGATGGCCATGTTGACAGCGTGTGCTTTACCCACATCAAATCCTGAGAAAACATGAGACAAATCTCAGTGAACCCTGATTCAAAACCCAGGAACAGATGTTCTGGGAAATTATGGACCAGCATCTCTTATGATTATGGGTGTAAAAGTCCTAGATAAAACATTAGGAAACCAAATCCTGAGTGGTTTGGTTTTTTTTCCAGTACTGGGAATCGAACTCACGACCTTGCACTTGCCAGGCAGGTGCTGTGCCGCTGAGCTAAATCCCCAGCCCCTTACCAAATCCTGAGTATGTTAACAGGGTTATACACCACGATCAAGTGGGATTTATTCCAGCAGTGCATGGTTGGTTGGAAATAAGGAAGTCATTATCTCACATCAAGAAAAGGGGAAAAACTCACATAACCATCTCATGCCAGGTAGAAAATGCATCTGACAAAACTTAACCTAACTGAACGCCCTCTACCTGGCAAGGGGCATCCAGAAGCCAGAGTACACACAATTAATGTGGAAAGATGGTGGGTGCTCCTAAGATTGGGAACCAGATGAGGAGATCCAGTGGGGGCCCAGCCTGGCACAGGTGAGAGAAGGACATAAAAGGCACCACAGGGGGAAGCAAGGGTGAAACCATCGCCATGTGCTGGCGGCAGAAGCCAAGACACAGAAAATCCCAAGAGACTGCTGGACTAATAAACGAGGTCTCAGGACATAAACTCAGTATAAAAACAGGTTGTATTTCTATACACTAGTAATGAGCAATCCAATTATGAAATTGAGAAAAGAATTTTTTTTTTTTTTTTTTTTCCAGTACCGGGGATCAAACTCACGACCTTGCGCTTGCCGGGCAGGCGCCTATGCCACTGAGCTAAATCCCCAGACCCTGAATTTCTCTTAAAATAGCAGCAAAATGAACAAAATGGGCTGGGGATATAGCTCAGAGGCATAGTGCCTGCCTAGCAAGTTATGAGGTCATGAGTTTGATTCCTGGTACCAAAAAAGAAAAAAAAAAAAAAAAGAACAAAACACTGGGAGATAAACTTAACACAGTGTGAAACATATACTTAAAACTATAAAACATGATTGAAAGAAATGAAAGACAACCTAAACCAATGGAAGGATATACCGTGTTCGTGCACTACAGACTTAATGGTGTCAGGACGCCAATATCCTAAAAGAGATCCATGGCTTCAATGCACTCCCCCTACATCACCACACCCTCTAGTGCTAGGGTGAGGGGGTTGGTGCTTGTCTTGCATGTGTGAAGCCTTGGACTCCCAGCAATCATTAAAAAAAAAAAAAGAATCTCACCTGCTCTTTTTTATAGAGCCAGAAAGGAGATCTTAGCACTGACTTGAACACGCAAGAGACTGGACAGGTCAAGACAATCTTGAAGGAGAAGAAAAATTGGGAACTCACATGCCCCAATTCTAAGGCATGACCTTGTACTAGGTACCCGGACAGACTTCCTCAGAGACAGAGACAGTCAGAAAGTGTACAACTCAGAGAGCCTAAGGAGGTGTGATAGGTGTCACATGGTGACCTGAAGGGTATCCCTGGGTAGAAAATAGACATTAAGTAAAAACTAAGGAAATGTGAGTAAAACGTGGACTTCAGTTGTACCCCAGGCAAATCAGACCACAACGACAGTACTGTACCAGTAGCAGCCTGTTATTAATCAGACCCCACAAGCCCAGTAGCTGAGCCCTGGACACACAAGCACAGAGCCAGGATGGGAAGCAGTGGGAGCTCCATGTCAGCGCTGGCAGGATGAAGATGCACAGCTGTGCGCACTTGAAACACACACTTGGGGTGAGGCCAGACCAGTGAGCTCGCATCTCCAGAGAAAGGCAGACACACCCACAAAGAGCCTGGGTGGAAGCAAGCTTCATGGGGAGCAAGCAGATGCCTTTCTGCATGAGCTGACTGCACATGCAGGAAGCCCACTGTGTGGTCCCATGCATAGATGGAGGGCAGTGGCAGGCAGGACGGGACATCCTCGGGGCAGGGGACATAAGGGTCCATTGAGAAAGGTTGTGGGGAGATGGAACTGTCCCGTCTACTACTGCAGAGGGTTTTCCACAATCTGACGTGTGTGTGCAGACTCACAGCACTGCACACCTGCCTCCAGCAGTCCACTTGCCACCACTAACAACCCAGCCACACACCAGGTTTTGAGGTCTCAGCAGGAGAGTGCTCTGTGGCCTGAGACCACCATGGTGGGTGTTCCTTCTGTGAAGCCAAGTGTAGCTCAGCAAACCAGTCATCAGGATAGCACTCCCTGGCTGGAGACAATGGGAAGGTAAGCTCCTGCAGAACGGGAGCTGGGTGGGACAAAGCTTCAGTGAGCCAGACATCCAGCCAGGGCTGCCCTCACATACACCAGACTCCCAGAGCCAGGCCCACTGTCCTCCTTGATCTGGGCACAACTGCCTGCCCCACCTGCACCCACTCCCCTGCACCACAGTGCTAGGTCCAGCTGGCTTCCGCCAGTGCCCTGGGGCCAAGTGTGCAACAACTCTTGTCACCTGCTCCCGGTTTGTCTAAGAAAAGCCACTTACCTGGAAGAGGATAAAGATGAGAAACAGCTCGTAGACCACACTAACGCAGAGCCAAAATCGCCAGTAAGCTACAAGGACGAGAAACAGGGACATCAGGGTCCTGGACTGGTTTCCAGGCTCTGCCCAGCCCTATGGCTGCTGGACAAAGCATCTGTCTGGCCCTGATGAGGCCTGGCAAGAGGCTCCACAGAACAAGGTCACACTCAGGTTGAGCACACATGGTCTCTCTCTGAAATGTAAAATGTTTTCCCTTCATTTTCTTCCTTTCCAGTCCTTAAATCTTTGATTTCTTCTGCTCCTTGTCTTACTGCTGTGGCATACAAGGCTCATAACCGGCAGGAGAAGCAGTGATGGCAAATGGCCTATCCTCGTTTACCGGCACTGCTCTGGCCTGCAGTGTTAGGTCTGGAACAGGGTTTTGGTGGACACCTTTATCATGCTAAGAAAATCTTTTCATGTAATCCCAGCACTCGGGAAGGATGAAGCAGGAGGATTGAAAATTATAGCCCAGTATAGGCAAGTTAGCAAGATCCTGTCTCAAAACTAAATACAGAAAGTGTGGCTCGGTATGAAGACCCTGGGACCATAAAACCAAAACCACCAAACAAAAGCTTTTCAGTCTAATATGCTTCTTGAGCCAGGGATTTAGCTCAGTGGCACAGCGCCTGCCTGGCAAGCATGAGGTTATGAGTCCGAATCTTGGTACCAAAAAAAAATATGCTTATCGTGAAAAGGTATGACCTTTTACTTTCCTGCATCTAACACAACCAAATTCTTCTCTTTTTGACAACCAAGTGCTTAAAATACGTTAATGCAGTGATTACCTTGACAAATTTCCATGTTAAGTCACCCTAAACTCCTGACTTGTGCATGACGCCCAGTGTGGCACCCAGAAGGCTTGGGGCAGGGACTGTGTCCTGGTCTACTCGATACGAAGCGACCACAGTGGCTACACAAGGGCTAACTAACCACACAGGGCAGAGAGTGTAGACGCTCTTGGCAACATGTGAACATGGCTTTTCAACACAAGACAAACAACCAAGGGGTCCAAACTCTACATCAGTAGTGTGAGGAGACCTTTGCTAGCCTGGGGGTTGTGGTGCAACCTGCCAGGGGCTCTCTCTGGGAGCGTCCAGTGCTTCGAGGCCTGCAGAACCCTGCAGGTGTCTCATGCTACCATGTATGAGGTGATCTTGGGCTGGCCATGTCTCTTCGGCCACGCGCTTGCAGTCTTTCCTTTGTTTTTTGAGACAGAGTCTCGCTATGTAGTTCACGGTAGCTTTGAATTCACTATGTAGCCCAAGCTGGCCTTAACCTCAAGGCCATCCTCCTGCCTCAGCCTCCCGAGTACTAGGATTACAGGCATGGGCCACTATGCCCAGCAATTTGCAGACTTTCCCATAGCTGCTTGCAGGAAGGGCCCCACATTAGAAGTTGGACCACCTCTGACTTGGCACTCTTTAGGTTCACTTCTACATTCTCCTTCTATGTGCCCCTCCCAGGGACAAGAACGCCTAGCACTGGTGCCTCTGATTCCAGCCCCCAACCAGGTTTAGCACTCCAAACACCAAATCTGGGAGGGAGCCCAGTGCAGTGGCACACACCTATAATCCCAGCACTCTGGGAAGCTCAGGCAGAGAATCACAAGTTTGAGCCCAGCTTGGGCAACTTTGTGAGATCCTATCTCAAAATAAAAGAGGGGGAAGGCCTGTGGATGTAGCTCACAGCAAAGGCCCTAGGTTCAATCCTTAGCACCGCAGAACAAAAATACTGAGTGGGAGGAGCACAGAGGCAGCCTCCATAGAACTGGGGACAGCTGACTACTCCCATTTTTGGAGGGAGCTGCAGATGCAAGTAAGAACTAGGACTGGGGCCAGGGTGCAGCTCGGAGTAGAAGTACTTGCCTAGCACCATGAGGCCCTGCGCTTGATCCCCAGCACTGCAACAGAAAAAACAAAACCACCAGGGTGGGAGTGAGGCCTGCTCCAATGAACTGCAGCCAGTGAAGAGTTTCCAAATAACTCCCCAGACAGGCCAGCTGGAACCTCCATTCTGCGTCTCCACAGAGGCCCAGTTGCTAATGGCCACAGTGTGGTGGCCTGGCCAGGCGATTTCTGTTCCCGAGCCAAGGTGGAGACAGTACAGCCCTGTAGAGATCACCTCTGTGGAGCTGGAAGCCCCCGATGCTCCTCCCCGGTGTGGCCTCACTCTCATCCCCTGCATGTGTGTCTGGCAGGAAGACAGGCCTGAGGGTTCCAAGGCTGTGTTAAAAGATGTGAGAAGGTGGCTCTAGGACAGGCTTCCATGAGCATAAGGCAGAGACTGCCAAAGAACATGCAGTTTATAAAGTCAACTACACTGAAAGAAGAGAGGGTGAGCAGCACTCAAAAGAAAGCTCAGAAACAAGCACACTCTCCCATCATGAGGGAGGAGATGGAGACCCAATACAGGAAGCCGGAGCAAGGCTCACACAGCTCAAAGCTGCCCACTGGAAGCTTTGAGAAGCTTCTATGTCTCCAGACAGGACTACATCACCAGGTGCCCAAGGAGCTGGGGTTTCTGCTCATGCATTGCATGCCTACCAGCACCGGGGCCTCCAGAAGAGGAGGCCACACCTCCACTGCTCTTCCAGTCAGCCTGCAGGCATTTGGCATGTAGGCCTCACTGTGTGACTTGGTCACTTTAAATCATCACCTCCCTTGTCCCCAGTTCTGGTCTGCAAGATAGAGCCAACCCTGCCTTGGCTGCTCCCGACTCAGTGCAGCAGGTCCCACCACGCCCACACAGCTGGGCAAAGATGGCCAGCGAGGACAGCAGGTAGGCACGGGCACCCTGTGACCCTGGGCAGATGTGTCTGTCCTACAGGGCTGGCAGGCTCAGCCTTAAACCCTGTGCTTTTCCTGGAATTTCTTTTTTTTGCGGGGAGTGGATACTGGCAATCCAACTCAGGACCTTGCACTTGCCAGGCAGGTACTTGTGTCGCTGAGCTATACCCCCGACTCATCCTGGAATACTTTACCAGTTTAATAATGAGAGAAGCACACAGACTACATGCAAACATTCACAGCCTAATATATCACAATAACTAAAAACCAGCTGGGTGTGGTGGCACATGCCCAGGGTCACAGCTACACAGGAGGCTGAGGTAGAAGATCACTTGTGCCCAGGAGTTTGAAGCAGTGTGGGCAATGTAGTAAGACTCTTGTCTCGAAAAACAAAAACAAAAAACAAAAAAACTACACACAGTTAACTCCAGTGTTTGAAGCCACACATACGTATATAAACACATCAAAATTCAATTAAAAAAATTTCCACAGTTCAAACCCCTATTGAGACAGAAAGCGAAGGTGTTTCTAATCCCTCTGCTATGACACGTAAGGGAACCCAACCAACGCAGCAGTGGCTGAGTGGCCATCCAGGGAGCTGAAGCCTGGGGCCAGCACTGAGCAGAGCAGGGCCTATGCCCTTCAGGGCTCAGACCCTCAGAGGGCCATCTGGTCCCAGGATTTGTCAGAGCTCGGGATGGAGGATGGAGGCAGAGAGGGGGAGCAGGCACCCCAGGCCCGATCCTGAGCCTCAGCCCTCCTGCAGGCCTGGAGCACCCTGGACGGCATGAAGGGGGCAGGTGAGCCACAGGGCAGCAGGAAGCAAGGCTGGGCTGGAGAGAAGCCAGGAGGGGTGATAGGACACTCACACCCAGGAGCACAGACACAGAGCAGTGCTCAGGACAATGCCACAGGGCACATACAAGAGAGAAATGGTGAGTTACCTGGATGAGGTCTGGAAAATGGCCCATCTTTGGCTTGTGTGACTCCAAAACATAAGAAAACCAAAATACTGGCCACAATACCTCTGCAAACAAAGAACAAACAGCCCTCAGTGTGTGCAAATGTCTCCCAGGCAGAGGTGGGAGGTGGCAGGGAAGGAGGCCGGGCTTAGGATGGAGTTGGCAAGAGCAGCAGGAAGCTGCCTATGCACTATTACCTCCAGAACCAGCAGCCCCTATCCAGCTCCACCCTGCGAAAGGGCACCAAGTTCAAGTGTTCTTGTATTAGGAGGCGCTTGTTGCTCATGGTGTCTGCGTCACCCCATTCATAAACACGGAAAGCCCTAAGGTTCTACATAACCATCAGGGCTCCCTTGAGCCCCATTAGATTAGGGGGTGTTGTCTGTTCTGAGAGAGGCCCCCAGCAGGATTTCTAGGAGCTTTCTGTCCTACTGGAGTCATCTCCCCCAACACCAGTAGGGCTCCTGTAATCATGTGGAAGGCTAAGACATTACAACATTACCACAAAGTGTACCCTGGGGCCCAGGAAGGGGCAGTGCCATGTGGACAGAGGGGCAGGGCTCCCAGGACAGCAGAAAGGGTGCTTCGAGGGAATGCCCTTCCCCACCCGGCGTCCTCTGCTGAATCTCTCTCCACACATCGTTTGGTGTCAAGCAGCACTCAGGGCTGCCGGCACATTCTCCACAGCCACACCAGCTCTGGTCATTCAGGGCCAGGACAGTTCTTGGCCTAGTTTTCCTTTGTTTTGTTTTTTGGTGTTGTTTTTATGATACGGGGGGTGGAACCCATGGCTTCTGCACTAAGCTGCAACTTCTCTTACTTTTATTTTGAGGCATACTCTAAGTTGCCCGGGCTGGGCTTGACTTGCAATCCTCCTGTCAGCCTCCCAGAGTCTGGGATTATGTGCTCAGACTCAGCCAAGTTTTAAGAGTCCCAACCTTGGCAGGACATTTATGGCCCCAACAGCACATGTTAATGTCTGGATCCAGCTCCATGACAAGCCCTGGGCCCCACACCACCGCTGCCAGGACAGGAGCAGAACCATGGTGCTTTGGTAGGGCTATGCCCACACCTGTTACTGAAGCCTCTGGCAGGGCAGGAAGTGGGGATAGCACCCAGCAGGGCCAATGAAGGGAGCTGGATACAAGCCTGGCACAGCCGCCCTCCACTGGGAAGAAGACACTGACCATGGGAGGCCTCTCTCTGCCTGAGGCCCCTGACAGGAGCCTGTGTCACATCTGCCTGGGGCTGTCCTGGCGCCTCAGCCACTTTTAGGTGTGT